AAATTCAGTGAAATCTGCTTAGAGAAGAAGTATGGGTATCAGATTAAAGAAGAAATTCTGTAGAATTTAACCAGATTCAATTTTTCGGTGCATAAGGACTGGTAAGTATTGAAAATGTCCTTTTAAAATTTTATCTTTGAAATTTCCCAATAATTGTTTTTAAAAAAATTATATGTTAAAGACTTATATAGACTCGATAACGTCCTCGGATTTCGTCCTTCTAACTTTATCAGCTTAAAAAATTACCTATTCGTCCTTGGAAATCCAACAAATTTTAACTTTTTTTAATTCCAAAGAAATTTCCTCTTTCATTTGGTACCCATATTTTTATTCTATATTGCATTGAATTTTTTAAATAATTTTTGGAATTAATCATATCTTTGAAATTACAAAGTCCTTTAAAATAAATTCTGAGGTCAGAGAGAAAATAAAAACGCCACTTTAAATAAAAAAGTAGGTTTCAAACCCATTTATTTATTATTTATTTTATGGTAGGAGAGATAGAAGCAATTTTTTCGATTTAAGTAGTTGAAAAGTAATGAATATCTAAATCCAGAGACTAATCCCGGGATTGTCATAACGACATCCCAAAAATCCCGAGAATGTAAAAAGCGAAAAAATTAGCAGTACGTAGTTATGGGCAGTCTTAAAATAGACCACCTAATTAGTTTTAACCTTTACCACATTAGTGCTTTGTCGGTTTCTAAATACATACATACATACATACTCGTACATATACCTGACGATTTCCTCCAACTAACTACATTCATTTCATTTATTATGCTCAATGCTTCATGTTTTTGCAACAATATTATATTTCCGCCTATATAGAGGTATTTAAGGACATTTGTTAGCTGCAGGATAAAAACAAATTTATCGATTTTTTCTGCCGAGTCGAGTTGACGTCAATACATTAGGCTCAAACAACCGTTCCGGCCGCCACATTATGACGTGAAAAGCTTTTACAAGTTATGCTGATGAGTTTTGTTGTTACACGAAGCTATACATGCATTTATTTATGTATGCTCAAACTTGAGTGTCTATCTATGTATTTATGTGCATTAGACTGATTCACTCCTTATACAAAAAAAAAAAAAAAAAGAAACTCGGTACTGGTTTTCCATTGGAATTATAAAATGTATTATATTTAAGACTTGCGCGAAAACATTTCTATTCATTAAAAACTTTGTTCTTTCAAATCGGTCCAGCTCACGTAAATCTTAAGATTTTTCCTAAATATTTTGGTCTAAGTCATCAAATATTATAAATTTTGTGATCCCGCCGGAAAAAGCTGCAACTTTTTTTGGAGAGGCAACCTAATGTACATATGTAAATAGTAGTAGAGGTGTTTGTATGATTGTCCTCCGCAAGAAGAAAAGCAACATTCGCCTGCAAGTGGCACAATCAAGTAGATATGCCATCGACGAAAGAAAACTCATACATTAGCACCATACTTAATTGTATATAAAATTTACACAACAATAAAATTTGCTTGGTAGGGGCTTTTGTTGTTTTATTTACTTCACGCAAAGCCAATGAAATTCGTACAGTCATACAAAAGCTATGTAGAGACTAGTTGTAAACTAGTACAAAAAGGTTGTATGTTTGATCAGTCATCACTAGTTTCAACCGGCGCACAGATCTATAGGCGATCAGCGGGATAAAACACCTAGGCCTTTCCCTAATGCTTAGTTGCTCTTGGGCGTAGAACAGGCACGATTGTAAGTAAATGGTTTAAGTTGATATCTTAACGAAATTCGGCACTTATTCCTTATTGTCAAAAGCAAGCTCTAGATTTTACTATAGGACAGCTACCTATGTATGTACTTAACGGGGAGGGACTACTGCCACAAAACACAGACATTCTTATGTAAATAAGTAAATGCAGATATCTTTAAAACAGTTAGGGTGTGGTTGAAAGTGGAGCAAAAATGAAAAAAGTGCGCTGATAAGTCAGTCAGTTACATGAAAGTAGTAAACACAAAGAACTCGAAACGTGTCGTCTACAAAAACCAGAAAATCAAATAAAAGAAATGAGAATACCTAAACCGGCGGAAAAGTAATAAAAAGGACTTGGTAACAAAAAAGTAACTTCATAATGAAATTGAAATTGAGCTCTTAATGTTTTTTGTTGTATGTATGTACCTTTCATGTCGAGGTTTTAGGCGACAACCACCAGTTATGCATGTCTATGCTAATGCAAATATTGAGAGTAGAGGCGGCAAACAAAATGAAGGATGTGCAAACAAATGCAAATGAGTACAACATTCTAAGTGCTTTTGAAATTTCAGCGAGAAGACTTTGAAGAATGTGATAAGTATTGTGGGGTAAGGCCAATAAATAAGTAGTATGTATGTATATGGAATTGATACCTACAGAGAGTGAAATATGGAAATAAAAAAGGCATATCAAGCAAAACAACAAAGAGTAGATTAAAATGAAATAAAAGAATCTTCAAATATTTAAAAAAAAATTACAAGTACAAAATAAAGAAGCGGGAAAAAAGTGTTAACAAATTTTACTAAATTTTGACTTTGGATCTCATTAACTTGAAATGTCATTGAAACTTATCCATTTAAACTCATAAACTCGCTGAGTTATAGCTAGCCGAACGCAAATATTTTTCGAGTTTTTGCCATTTAAAAAATTTATATTTTTTCAGACCCTGGTAGAGGGCCGGTAATTTTTTTAATTTTGCAATTTTCGTGAATGTCTTTACTTTGTACGTAGAACAAAATTGAAGGGTGCCTCTTGTTGTTGACATTTTAGTGGCCACCCTAATGTACATAAGTATATTAGGGTGGTCCAAAATGCATGTGAAAAAGTAAAGTCGGACTTTTTATGCCGTTCAACCAATTTGTATCAAACTCTGTGTGGTTATTGTGCTCGCCACATAAAAGCAAAACGTTGAAAATGATTGAAATCGGACTAAAATGACGGCCGCTTTTCATATAATGGTAAATTTCGGAAATGCTTGAAATGCTTGGTTTTTTTATTTATTTTCCCTTTTGCATTTTGTGCATTTAATGGTGATTTTGGCGGTCCTATAAAATATAGTTACTATAAAAAAATGGTTAAATAAACAATTGGATATTATTATTGGGAATCTTCTGAAGAGAAACAGAGCTAATTGTCGGGAGGATTATATTCTCCCTCTAATGAAATAGATAGGGTGAAGTACACTAGTACGTTGATAGGGGACGAAGAAAGTTCTTGTGAGCAATGAGGGATAAGCAACTTGCAGAAAAATATACATACATATACACAAATATACGTACATACGAAGATACATACATATATTTTTCAATCCTAATGAGCTTTAGTCACAACATTTTTAGGGCTTCAACTAACCAACCGCATATCCTGATACAACCCCAATTTAAGCCAACGCCTCCTCCTTCCTATTTGCTATGTACCTATGTAAATCACTCGTCAAACGAATTAATGCAAAACTTGCTTTGTTCGAAAAACAAATCAGAAAATAATAGTATTTATAACACCCGTTCGCCTTTATGCCCATCAATGTTTTTGTTTTTTTTTTTTTTGTTGCTTCTGTAGCAAGCTAATGACAACAGATTTTCTCAACAGTGCAAATTGAATTGGTGCTTAGTGATTACATCCTGTGGCGCGTGTATTTATTAACTTATTTCGCAACACTCACTTTCCTCTTTTAGACTCTTTCCTCCCTATTCCGCTTCTTTTCGAGCGAGTAAGTTGTGACAAGAGGAAAAGTTGTTGCCACTTGATAAATGCCCAGTGTGCACGATGTCAATGCCAGGCGTTTGTAAATATGAATGCTGATGACGAGGGTACTTAGTAGGTGTGTAGGAGGCATTTAACTAAATACATATTTTATAGCTTTATTCTGGGTAACGCTGTATTAAAAGGTGTGGTGGCCACAAAGTAATTTTCGTTTGGAATATTTGATGAGTGGTGTGCATGGAGCTCAATGAATGCGAAAGAATTCCTAGATTTGGTTGGGTCATTAATTGGATGCTAATGCTGCTGATAGATTTTAATTGTTTATTTACATTTGTATGCTTTATGAATAAAATTTATTATTTATTATTATTATTTACGAAAGCTAATTATGCTAATGAGGATAATAATGTAAGAAATTTAGTATTACTTATATGTACATACATATATACAGGCTGCTCTAAATCATCCGTCCACCTCCTTTGAAATGGAGGGAATAGTTTTTTTTATTGTAAAATGTAAAAATATGACCTACCAAACTGAGAAGATAGAGCATCTTCTGGTGGTATTACCGACTTTCAGTTTCAACCGGAAGTGGGTTAAACTTACCGGAAGTCCGTTTTTTTTATACTAGACACATACATAACTCTTTACTGCAGACCCAAATTTTGAGGATAAAAATACATAACTTTTGTTTGAAACTTTTTTTCGGGAGTGCCTTTTTCAACCTCTAAATTAGCTTCGAACTTCAACTCGTTTTGGACTTCTAAAATGAGTGAAAGTTTTTTATTGGAAAACGAAAAAATTTGTATGCATTATCAAGTCGAGGATGGTCTTTCTTTTGGTAGTATTGCCGACTTTCGGGTTCAACCGGTAAGGAGTTGAACTGAGCAATTATTTTTTCTTAAAATTTCAGAATCTTTGATATCTGATATTTGTTTTTTAAATTAACGCCAATCGGCTTTGTACATAATAGAGTTATTAAATACAATAGTTAACCAAAACAAAACGTAAATAATTGTAAAATTGCAACTGCTGTCGGTATAGCAATAGTAACATAAAACAACAATAGTAACATAAATACAACTTGTAACATAGACTCAGAGTATTGGTTTTAAAGTAAGTACACCTTAAATTTTACTTAAATTTTTTTAGTAAATCGAGTAAAAGGTCTGAAATTTTAAGAAAAAGCAATTGCTTAGTTTTTATTCATAGGGTCCATTATTTAAACAATTCAAAAATTATAACGATTTACATATAGTACATACATGCATACACATGACCACATACTTAACACTTACCTTCGAGTAACTCTCAGTGGAGCGAATATCATTGATAGTCCATGGCAGCATAGCAGCGGAATAGCGCGGATCTACAGAAGCGCTGCCGCGGTAGGTTAACGAAACGAGACGAGTTTTCATGTTGGTTGGAATACTGGCGGCTAGTGAGTTTTAACTTGAATGCAATATTAACCGAAAATAACCACGTTAAACTTTCTTAGTACACACTAAAATTTACTTAAATTCGTTTATTCGTTTTGCCATTAAATTTTATTCATAAAATTATTTTTTAAGGCATTCAAAAACTTCTCGCGGTGCTCATGACTCATTTGGAGCATTCGAAAAGAATATCTAAATCAAAAATGTGGGCATACACAGAAGTACTATTTAGGAGGCAGTTTTAAATTTTTGGCAAGAGTGTATAGGTAGGTATGAGTGTCACAGTTTCCAAATCCTAGCTAACAGTTCCTTTCAAGCAATGGCAGTTAGTAGTTATAATGGTTATTACACATATGTATGGGCATACAAATGTACGTATTAAGTGTATGGAGTTCCAAAAATACACAAAATTGAGCACGCGACCAAAGGAATTTAGGACACAGGCCGCCAAACGAAAAATCAGACAAAGAATTACTGAATTTTATGGTGGAGTTGGCATATTTTTTTATGCTTTTAGATATACACATGCACATACATATGTAGTTGTTTATTCTTACTGGATTTGCCTATGCAACGCCGCAAGCTTGTCCATTCATCCAATCGGAAAGGCACAAACAACTAGGTATGTATGTACTTTGGCCAGAGTGCGGCTGCCTTTTTTCCCTTGGTCTTGTTTTTATTGCGAATATCGATTTTTCATGAATTTTTCTACCCAAGCAATGGAGGTTGCTGCTCCGGTTTTGCATACAGCATAGGTTTTCAAAGCGACGCACAGCGAAGATTTTCTTTTATTCCCACAGGATAAAAGTGTGAATCAGATTGTTTAGGTAGATAAGCATGTAGACTTCCAAGCCAGGTAGGCAGGCAGCCAGACAAGCAGTAATTCAAACAAATCAGCAAGCCGTAATTCACTTCGTGCACTGCACTACTATTTCATTTTTAATGCAGCAATTTTTGTGGTGTAAGCACCTTGCTTTTTCTTTATTTGTAGATTTCAATACTTTTTAAATATTCAATTGAAGTATAAATATATTAAAAACAACTTTCCACTAAAACTTAAACACTTTACAAAAGTCCACACCGCCCAGACACAACGAATATCCACTGAAAACTGCCACTGACTAAACAGGACACAGCAGTTATCACCAATGTCCGTAAGGCATTTTATTTCTCTATATCCTTGCGCAGTGTTTTGCCTTGCAAATTGCTTCGCTTTTCACATTATCCTTCTGCAGATTTAGCACTCTTTTTCTCACAAAACACTTGAAATTCGCGGGCGCAGTCGCCGTTTTGAATGTTTTTATTCGCTTTGCCACTTTGCACCTGGTTGACATTTGAAATCGGCCGTTGCCGCGCCGCTCAATAACAACTCTGTTGCTGACGAACGCGCTGAGCAAAGCAAAAGATGATAACTGCTCGAATATTAAATACACAAACCTATGTCAAGAAACTCAAAGTACCATCACACAGGGTGCATTGAAATTTTAAGAATCAATTAAGGGAAATACAAATCGAGCGTAAATTTTTCCATTTCCGGTAATTTTTTACGTTTCAATGAAGTGAAGTTTTCTTTGATTTTATCATGATAAAAATATAGTAAGGTAGAACCGCTGAGAGTCACTTTTAAAATTCTTGACGTTTCCAAACAATTTAATTTTTAAATTTACTCACAAACTCACACACACATTTTCATTTTGAATCTCAAGCAACAACAATTTCGAACAATTTCAATTTTTTATTTTCACTTTCATATGATTTTAAAATGTTGGCAAACTTCAAAAAAAAATCATGGCCGACAAATTGAGAGAACGGTTATACCTCTGGTCTCCGGCAGGAAATCTAATTTCCATAAGAGAAATCAGCCGCCAAAGGACATCGCGTGGTTCCATGCCGGTATGTTAAACCGAACTTCGCGCCGGTGGAGCTGGGGCAAAAGCTAATATGTACATATCGCACATTGTCTTCAAAAGAGGCACAACTCAAAATTACACGTTTGTTAGAAAATGCGAAAAACTATTTCGATGATAATCCTATGGCCAAGCGAGACTTTACCTTAGGTTTTTTCTGACAAATTATAAAAAAAAAAATTGCTCCAGCTTTTGCTGAAAGGTAAATAAAAGCTTTGTGTACATTTTAGCGCATAATTTTAAAAATGCCAAATTTTGAGTTGCGCCTCTTTTGAAGAAGGTGTGCGATATTCTGATCAGGGCTTTGCCTCTTTGACGAAAACTATTCGACAATACCTAACCTCCCTCCATGGCCTTAGATTACTTCGGTATCAACATTAGCTGATCGATGAGATGGCAAGACATGGTATGGCAACAAAATGCCCATTGAAACAATAATTTCCCGTAGGATTGTCAGTTGTGAAAATTTTAAATTAATAAAATAAATTTTATGCAACTACAATTATATTGTTGCAGCGCCTTTCCATCGTCCCTGCCGCAGCCTAAGCAGCACGCGGCATTTAGCTGATTGCACTTTCTCCAACGGCAGTGCGTACAGAAAACTTGGCGACAACACCGCCACCGCGTCAATGTGCGCCTACGCAAAAATAGCAAAAGCCGCGCAGCAGGTTTTCGCCCTTCGTCTGAGCCAAAAATAGACAGCCGAACATTTTAATTTGTTTTTTTATATAAATTTTTGCATTCTGCGCCTTTTTGTCTGTGCGAATATGGCAAGAAGGCGAGTTACTGAGCGCATCGAATGCATTTTTATGTGTATGTATGTATGTATATGTATGTGAGAATGAATTGACAGCCGGCAAGTGTGTCTAGGTATGTATATGGAATATGGTTGTTCGTAAGTGTGCTTTATGCAACTAAACTGCAGATGAATTTTTCGCAATCTACATACATACATATATGAACGATGAGGGCCCTAAAAGGCTTTGGCACGGAATGCACTGAGTGCCGGTGAGTTTGAATGATTTGCCTGAAGTAGCATAGCCAAAAATATGCAAAATACCGACGCACGCACAACGAAAAATTATAATTAAATGATAATATTGAAAACATTGAAGGGAGTATGTAAGTGGCGCACAGTAATCGATAAGATAACTCAGCTAGTTGGCAATATATGTATGTAGCGTGAATGTGTATTGTAAATATGCGCTTATTTGTATAATTATTTGTGTATGTTAAGTGCATAGTTATAAAAATTAAGTATCTAAAAATGTATGTACATATGTATGTATGTATATGTAGCCACTTATATGATTTTATGTTCATGTCTGCCGCCTGAAATTTAATCACTCCAAACGACAGACAGCGTACCGGAAATGAGGAAGTAGAAATAAACGAAGTGCAATAAAAAGGAGTGCATATATGCTATAGCCATAGATCATCAACGTACATACATACATAAGTATGTAAGTATATTTATTTACATTCCTACAAATGCATAGATAAGAATTTGATGGTAGGGGAAATTTGTCGCCGTCAATGAAACTCGCTCAAAGTCATCAATGAAATTTTATAAAACTTTTTTTTTTGTGCTCGTCAAATATATATTTTGCCCTTCAAAAGTGGCGAATTTCTGTTGTGTTCATGATTTTGAAATGTACATATACATAGACAGTGTCGGCCATTGCAATAGCGCCCCCTTTTGGCCCTCAGTATTGACAGTTTTCCTTTTATTTATTTAAAATTTATTAACTTTTTTATAAAAATAAAATATATTCTATAACCATATATTCTATAATCATGTAAATCAGATTTTTTTTTCTATAATAATTAAAAAAGATCAAAATTTCATACAAAAAAAAAATAAAAATTTAACGACTTTATTCACGATATATAAAGTAGCTTTAAGAAAGGATTATCAACTACAGAAAAGGAAAAACGTCATTTTATAAAGCTCTTTAAGCCTAGTTTATTTTTTATAAAAAATCATGTTGTTTTTTGATATTTATTTTTTATTTTATTTATTTAAGAAAGCTTATATAATAATAACAATCATTATACAACCTATGAAAAAGCAGCGCTAGCAGCAGAGGCTTTCGGCTGATTTTTTGATATATTTTTTTCGCTGAATGTGTTGCGCATTTGCTTTCATATAAAAAAATTGGCAGCCATTTTTTGTATGGAGGAAAATGCGTAAACACCTTCAATAAAAAAATGCTCTAAAATCGATGCGATTTTTTAGAAACCTGAAACTAGTATTAAAATTTAATGTGCTACAAAACGGCTTACTCAAAAATTTTGAATAAATTTGTTTGAATGATTATAAATTTTCTTTAAAGTTTTGTTATAGAATATGCTATATTTTCTTAAAACATTAATGAATATTAAATAAACAAAAGGAAAACTTTCAATACTGGAGATCAAAAGGGGGCGCTATTCAAGTAGGCGACACTGTATATGTGCATATGTACACAAGTGTATATATTTATCCAGATAAATGGTATGTGGTGTATATTCTCTCTAAACATCCCTGCAGGAAATGCGTAATCTATTGCCATTACGGTGGTAGTAGGTTTTTGTAAGATTTTGCTCAGAGCATTTCTATACATTTTTCTTCACTTAAAATAGATTCTGTCCTCAAAATTTGTTCTTATCTATCGAAGACTATAAAGGTGGTCCGAAATAATATTTTATTTTTTGCCAGCATTTTGTAGCCTACATAAGTCTTTTATTATGCCCCATACTAGAGATGCAAAGGATATCCGGTACCTATCTGGTTTGTAGGATATCCGGCTATAATTTATCAATTAATTACTATCCAGTATCCGACCAGACGAACAGTTTCAACGAACTCGTCATCGTCTTTCGTTGTTAGCTAACTTTGTTGTTGCTGTCACATACAAATTTTTCGTTAAGCGAAACGATGACGGCTAGGCTAGTGAAAGCTTGTTTTACAGGAAACTGTAAAAATCAACAGCTTTACCGTAAAACTAAACTAAATTTTATTTTTCTGAGCAAGATGGAAATGGATGGGTCTTTAGAAATACATATATTTCTTTGGTAACAGCGAGGCAATGGACTTGTTATGCGGCCATGCAGCTCGCCGTACATTCGTATTCGAACAAATCACTATCCGTTACATATCTAACCCATATACTCTGAGAAAACCAGAGAGCAGAGAGTTATATTTAAGATCCTCTGACACGGCTTCAATCCTATAACGGTTGCCTAGCACGCAGTGTTTTAAAAATTTGTATCGTCCATAGCGAGATATATTACCCGAAAGGCTATGGTTGCTCCAGCAGATGACCTATTTGTATTTAGATACCACAATCAAAGATGATCTATTGTAGCAGATCTTATTTTATCCATGTATCATCAATAAACCTCGCAAGGTCCCTTTGCCGAACGATATTTAGGAGACTGGCTTAGGCTATTCGTAGAAGTTTGCTAAGCGCCGACTCCAGTTCCATCCGTTCTGCCAATGCATCCAATTTCGTTGCTTACCGGCTTTCTTTTTCAAAATCTCCAAACCAAAAAATATTACACCTTCTCTTCTATCTCTAACTTAACAAGTAGGCATTAATTTCCTACTGGGACAGTGAAATTCGCTCCGTTAATACAAGTAGCCACTAAAGGTGTTTATAAATAAACAGTTGTAACGTTAGTGGTGTCGTTGTTGAACCATCGTCTGTTGCAGGTACATTACATACTCGTATAATGTCGTTGATGGTAGCGTAAGTATGTATGTATATAAAAACAGACAACGCTGCACTTTTATACACACTTTCTATTAATAAAATTTTTTCCACTGGAGTATTTTGAGTTTGATAAATACAGTGACTCACGTGTTGATTTTCTTCAAATATTCGTAATGTTTTTCGAGCTAATTTTTATTTATTTTTTTGCAAATATCGTCTAAGCTTTAACCAAAACCGTGTAAATCACACTTTCAAACTTTATACAAAATTTAGGAAAATTCCACAAATTTTCATCAAAATTTCAGTTTTTATTCTGAATTTTTAGAAAATTTTTGGGTATGCAGTTTTATAGCCCATACAATTTTAGTCTAATGAAGTGCAAGTTGATTTTTGAGACTTTTGCACTTTTTTTCATATAAGTCTGAATTTTTAATGAAATAAAACGCGGGAGAGGATCAGCAAACGACATTTCAAAAAATCAACGCCAGTTTTTGTAAACTGGGCTTGTTATATTAAAAAACCCGAAAAAGTAGCCTCCAAAAAAATTCTTAAAAACCAGCGTGATATTTTAGCCGTTTGAAACTTGCACTTCACCACACTAAAATTTTATGGGCTATAAAACTGCATACCCTAAAATTTTCTAAAAACTCAGAAAAAAAAAGTTGAAATATTGATGAAAATTTGTTGATATTATCTACGATATATTTTTATAAAAATAATAAAAAAAATTTTGCTGAAAAAATATTACGAATATTAAAAAAACA